TGAAATTATAAAGCTTTATTAAGTTAATATAATAGACATGCTCCACTACATCATGTACATTAACTGTAATTATAATACATTTTAGTTTTAAATTAATTTAAAATTATTCACTGTTAATAATTCCATTGAAGAAGTCCAATTAAAATGGTTCAAAATTAATCCAGCTTCTGTGTCTTCAATTTCCATACATCTTGCTTGATACTGCAGTATTTTGCCATCCAGATCAAGATTAACCCTTTAAGTGGCAATGCACCCTGATATGCCCTACATTATTATTTTACTCTGTCTAACACCAGACAATTTACTCATCAAGGGAGAGTGCTGTCACTCTAGGGCTTAATTGGGAAACCAGGGTGAGTCAGGACAAATTCCCAATTGTGTGATAAATGGTGTCCCAATTGTAAGATAATTCTGGAATAAACAAGAATATATTATATGTTGTAAAGTTGAGTACAGAAATGATGATGGGAAAAACAAGAGATACCACAACCATTGGCGGTGCAATTATCAGACTTGATGGTATAACAACCAAAAGTCAGTGCCGTAGCAAGTTTGATAATTGGGGGGGGGACTCATATTCATATATTCATATTCACAGTCCATAAAAACAATCCATTTCAAAAGAAATTAATAATGCAGAACACGAATATAATATATGAATATGAGCCTCCCCCAATTATCGAGCTTGCTAAGGCACCGAAAGTGGCCCTAAACGTTGACAATGACTATGAGTGCAAGGATTGTCAGAACATAGTTAGAAGTAATTGCCAGATTGGCCCCAGTGCATTGATACAGTATTTCTGGTTTTTCAAATTGTTTAATTAAGGCTATGATAGGAGTTATGTGCCACCTGAGCTTCTATATTATCCCTACAAACCTGTGCCCCCCAACAATGTGTTGTTAATGACCAATGTAACGTCTTTTCATCATACAGCAACATTTAGTTACGGGGGGGGGGTATATTTTGTTATTCACAGGTATTTTGGGAAATATTTGAATGCTCCAAAAGTCTTGTCATTGATTTAATAGCCTTGTATGCAAAGTTTTAAGTTGGCACATAATCATATTACACAAAACCTGGAGTTAATAGCACTTTATAAAGTAATTTATAAATAACAAAAATTTGTAGTTTCAGCAACCAAATTGTGAAATACACAGGTTGCAAAAAAAACCCCAGCAAAAAGCTGTCTTCTTTATAATCCAAAGAGTTTAAGAGTGCATTTCATCGTGAAATATAAAGATATAAACGCATAAATAAAATTGAATAAAATACCAACCTGTTTTTATATTGCTCGCTGGCTCCAATTAAAGGCATTCAACACTCTAGATTTACGAATACCTTCGATTGGTTGTTAATCGATAGCTTTTCCAAACATGACAGTGTTTCCTTTGAGTGCTTCTCTCAGTTATCTGGCACAATAAGACTTTTCGCCTTTTAAATTTTAATATCACTAATCAGCTGAAAGCCTGAAATAACAGGTTACAGGACATTTATGGATTGTCCTGTAATGGTGGTCTAAAGCATCTTGATCATAGCAAGATAAATTATGCTGACATTCCTCATGCGGACAAGGGAGTTTATCAGCTAAAAACGCTCTGTGGTGTATATAATATTAAAATAGTCTTTCCTCTTTTGTTGTCAAATTGTCCGCCATTTTGTCTCTGTAATCTGCCAGTCGTTATTTTTTCCCTCGCCTTCCCTTTTCCCCTTGCGCGCGTCCACATTTGGTACTGATCTATATATATATATGGATATATACCTATTCGTCCCTATATATAAAATTGAAATTCAAATAACGACTGGGGACGAGTCTGATTAGATCCCACAAGCAAAATGGTGTGGTCGGTATAGAATTGATCGGGGGAAAAGTACTGTATTTACTTCCTTTAGAAGCTAACAAATTGTAGAGGTGAGATACTAAAATGTGTTTCAAAGTTTAAAGCTTTTGATAAGTATAAACATCTTGTAAAAGAGGATGGTCCGAGTTAAGATTCGGGGAGGTTTACAAACGGGGATATTTTATCACGGGTGGGAAAGGTTTTCATATTTTATTTTGACACTGTAGAGGTCAACGAAAAATCATTTTGTTAGGCTTAGCGGGATTTGGACTCATGCAGTTTCCAAGGGATCAATAGGAAGTCTTCTTCCATTAAAAATATAATGATGACTTTATACATGTTTGTTTCGCCTTTGTTGAAGAATTTATAATTATACTTGTATTTATCTTTCTAGGATGGCGTATGTCTGTAGTACTTGTTCAAAGAGTTTCACTCAAATGCGGAGTTTAATTCGTCATACGAGAGCTACTCATCTGGGTAAGACATTCAAGTGTCAGGAGTGTGATAAGTCATTTACAAGAATGGACGCCCTCATTCGTCATGGTCAGCAACATCGGCAGTTGATCATCCACAAATGCGATAAGTGCCTGAAAGAGTTCTATCGTCGTCATAAGTTAGTTGACCATAGAGTGGTATGTGACGGAAACACCTTGAAGAGGAAATCTGATGACGTAGTCGACACTACTTCTGAAGCTAAATGGAGTAAAGTTGATGAAACAACAGTTCACTCTCCCAATCACATTGGTCATGGGTATGGAGATGACGATCCGTGTAATCTTACATCTGCTTTCGAAGAAAACCTGAAGAAAATTGAACTGGAACCGCGAAATGATCAAAAACATGATATGTCCCAATTTCTCCGCGGTAAAACCAAACCGATTCTAACTCATCTATTGAAAGAGCTGGAAATGAAGAAAGGATTGAAATGGTTCATCAGTGTGAAAGCGAGATTTGTCAAACCCAAAGTGGATGGTGAAGATCTTTTTAGTGAACCACATTTCCGCAGTCTGTGTACCACAACGGTTAATGCTCATGATATGGAGAAACAACTACAAGAAGCTTGTAGTAAAATTCTGGATTCCTTGGCGATATATCAGAAAGAAGGAAGTGGTTGGATCCTAGATGAAATACTTCATTTAGACCTCAACCTGGCTAAATACACCCCACTCAAAGGTTCCAGTTACATTCCTCTACCGAAAAAGTTGAAGACTAAAAAGGCAATCATCAATATCAAGAATTCCGACAACAAGTGTTTTATGTGGTCTATTCTCGCCGGTATCCATGAAGCACCTCTCCATTCTCATCCTGAACGGACACATCATTATCAAGAGTTTCAGGATGAACTAAACTTTGAGGATATTGAATTTCCTATCACAATTGATAAGATTGGAAAATTTGAACGTCAAAATAGCATTTCGGTGAACGTGTTTGGTTACGAAGATGTACTCTTCCCAATTTACATTACAAAGGAACACTTTGATACCCACGTGAATCTATTATTATTCTCCCAGGAAACAACCAGGCATTACTGTCTCATCACAGATCTAAATAAATTATTGTATGATCAAAATGGTTATAAATGTCGAATGTTTTACTGTCGTTACTGTCTATACATGGATTTATCCGAGAAGACCTTCTACAAGAGCATGAACCGCACTGTTGTCAACATGGAGCCCAGCGTATTGAATTGCCAAATGAAGACAATGCTTCACTCTATTTCAAAGATTATCATAAACAACTCAAGGTACCATTCGTTATCTATGCTGATTTTGAAAGCATCACAGCCAAGATGGATTCAGTTTCCCCAAATCCAACTAAATCATCTACCGAGAAATACCATCACCATCAACCTTGTGGATTTTCGTATGTTGTCGTGTCACAGGCAGAAAAATATAACAAACCTCCTGTCGTTTACCGTGGTGAGGACGTAGTGGGTAAGTTTCTCGAGTGTTTAGAGACAGAACAGCAATACATTGACGAGAAAGTCAGTTTCATCGAGCCGATGCGAATTGAAAGAGAAGAAGAACAGATGTTTCAAAACGCCATTAACTGTCATATCTGTGGTTTTGAATTGGGCGCAGACCGGGTTCGCGATCATTGCCACCTCACAGGAAAGTATCGTGGAGCCGCACACAATGAATGCAACCTAAACTATAGTTTTACTGGACGCATTCCTATCATCCTTCACAATGTTCGTGGTTACGACTCTCACCTGATCATGCAAGGTCTCGGAAAGCTAAAGAATAAGGAAATAAACTGCATCCCCAACAACACTGAAAAATACATCTCTTTTTCCATCGACAAGCTAGATTTCATCGACTCACTGTAATTTATGAACGCGTCCCTAGAGCGGTTGGTGTCTAATCTTTCAAAAAGTGGTGTAGATATGTTTCCAACTCTCCAAAAACACACTGAAGCGGATAAACTACCACTACTTCTGCGAAAAGGTGTATATCCATATGACTACATGGATAGTTTTGAAAAATTTGATGAAGAAACTCTACCTCGTCAAGAATGCTTCTACAGTGTCCTAAATGATAAAAATATTACTGATGCTGATAACGACCAGCGACGCTGCTCGTGTTTTTGATGCCGAAGTAGGGTGATTATCATCATTTATACTTAAAATCGGATGTCCTGCTACTGGCTGATGTGTTTGAAAACTTTCGAAACGTCTGTCTAAAGGCCAATAACTTGGATCCATGTCACTTTTACACAAGCCCCGAACTGGCCTGGCAAGCTTGCTTGAAACTGACTGAAGTTGAACTTGAACTTTTGACTGATCCAGACATGTATTTATTCGTGGAAGAAGGGCTTCGTGGCGGAATATCCATGATAAGTAACCGTTTAGCAGAGCGAACAACCCTTATGTCCCCGATTATGACCCTGATCAAGAAATATCTTACGTGATGTATCTCGATGCAAATAATCTTTATGGCTGGGCCATGTCACAACCCCTACCAACTGGCGAATTCGATTGGTTAACCGAAGAAGAGACCCCCAACTTCGACATCATGCATGTTGCTGATGACTCTGAAGAAGGTTATGTTCTCGAAGTGGACTTAAGGTATCCTAAAGAGTTGCATGATTTACACAGTGAGTATCCGTTAGTTCCTGAAAAGATGAAGATTGTATCAGAAATGTTATCACCTTACTGCCAGCAGCTCTTAGAAGATTTAAATCTCGGAAGTGTCGCTGTGCCAAAATTAGTACCCAACCTTAACGACAAGACCAACTACATTGTACACTATCGTAATCTGAAGTTATATCTTGCATTGGGGATGGAGGTGACAAGAATACATAGAGTCTTGGTGTTTCAACAAAGTCCATGGCTCAAAGCCTACATATATTTCAACACAGAAAGAAGAAAGTGTGCCGCGAATGACTTTGAGAAAGATTTCTACAAGCTGATGAATAATGCGGTGTTTGGAAAGACCATGGAGAATCTGAGAAAGCGAGTCAATGTCAAATTGATCAATGACAAGACAAAGCTGGCAAAACTAACTGCTCGTCCATCGTTTGACTCTTTCCGTATTTTCTCTGAGGATCTCGCTGCAGTGAATATGAAGAAGACAAAGCTATACTTAAATCGACCAATCTATTTGGGATTTACAATCCTGGATCTCTCAAAGGTGTTGATGTATCAGTTTCATTACGAATATATGAAACAGAAGTATGGTGGTAACGCTAAGCTGCTTTTCACGGATACGGACAGTCTATGCTATGAAGTGAAGACCCGTGACATCTACCAAGACATGTTGGAAGACACAGAGCTATTCGACACATCCGAATACATACAAGATCATCCTTTGCACAGTATAAAAAACAAGAAAGTTCTCGGTAAGATGAAAGATGAGACGCATGGAATTCCAATTCAAGAATTTGTTGATTTAAGGCCAAAGATGTACTCCATCCTATACACTGAGAACAGCAAGCTGGTGGAGAAGAAGACAGCTAAAGGAGTAAAGAAGTCGGTGACAAAGAAGAAGATAAGACATGATGATTATAAAACCTGCTTATTTAATAAGAAGCAGACAAAAGCGTCAATGAATCAGATTCGAAGTCACGGTCATGAGATCTACTCCATCAAATTAAATAAGATTGCTTTAAGTCCATATGATGATAAACGTTTCATTTTAGAAGACGGTGTTAATACATTAGCTCATGGACATTATAAAATTAGCAGATAATTTGTGTAACAAATCTCACGTATGGTGAAAAAACAAGGATGGTGTTAGTGCTCTAAGATAATCTAATAAAATTTTGTTATATGATGAATTCAAATACACTTTTTCACACTCTACGTCTATTGTCCTTTATATTGTATACAGTTTATGATGATGGAGGGCGGCTATAGTTGGGTAGAAGAGGTCCCCGAGGATAGGGGACGTACTTAGAGAATCGGTTCATCAGGCCATAAAAAAGGCCCTTCGTGCCATTTTTAACAACTGCTATAAAAACCGTCATGGTCTATTCCCTCCCCTCAACATCATGGTTAAACCAGAGTTGCCGCTTTAATGACATTATAAGCGCGTGTAATTGATATGAAATTATACTGTGATGACGTCATGGGTGGTACTTAGTGCACCACCCGCACCACCCGTCCCAGAACCCCTATTTTGTATACTACTGAGTTGGCAGGAGGCGTTTTGGAATTTTCCGAGAGAACAGGCTACTTATGGAACACATCACACGATCGCATTACCGGTGTTTCATCCCTTCTATTAATATCTATTACCCTCGTCTTCCGCTCGCGCCCGCAATCCCTGCTGTTATTTTCGTTGGAACGTCATGTAATATTTTCGTTTTGTCAATTTATTCGCCATATTTGAACAATCTTTCGAAGCAATCATTCTGAGTATATATAAGCGCTCTGTTTGAAACTATTCAGTGCAAAGGCAAGCTCTTATGATTTATACAAGTAAGTGCAATAATTTAAATATATTACGTTATAATGTTTTATTCATATTACGTTTAATTAATGTTTTATTCATATTCATAACACAGCTCTTAGTTGGACCCCCTGTGCCCTAGTGCGCTCTACTTATTTTTTACTTGCAGTCTAACGCCGGACAATTTTACTCGTCAATGGCGAAGCTCTGCAACTTAATCGGTTAAAAAATAGTGCTTGTGTTTTTAGCCATATGTATTTAAACATATCACAAAGTTTTAAAAAAAATTCAACGAAAATATTTTTCAAACATGCATGACCGTTAATCGAACAGCTGCCTACCTACAAATGCGCACTTCATAACTTCATACTTTTTAACTTGTTGGAGTCCTGCATGCTGTCCAACATTAAATTTTATTATTTATTGCATTAAAGTTAAACCCATTCCTACTCTTAGTTTGCGACTGGGAGTAAAAGTCTCTTTTACGGCAAGTCTGTATCCAGGGCCGTAGCTAGCATGTATAGTTGGTGG